TGTGTGTGCGCAGGGCCTCTGTACCGATTTTTCATCTCGAGACCTACAAAAGCTACAGAGCTGAAAATTTAGGGGCTTAATCTACATGCACGTACGGGCCCCCATCCCCAAAATGGGCGGTCTTACCTGCTTGGTACCCATGTAAAAGTCCGCCAAAGTTTTTTACGGGTAAGCTGCTAACTCAGAAACCAGAAATGTTGGGAGGTTGAAATTTTAAGGGGACGTTCCCTGTCCAAGTAGGTGTTAATGAGCTCAAATCCAGCCCCCGGGTGAACATGGTACCCAAATACGGGCCCGCCAAAATTTTTTTCGGGTAAGTTGATAACTCGAGTACTTGAAAAGCTAAAGAACTGCAATTTTAAGAGGATATATCCCGTCCACCTAAGTTTCATTCCGCTCGAACCTAACTCTCGGGTATGCGTGCAAACATGCACGGACCCGTAAAAGTTTTTTTCCAATAAATTGCTAATTCAGGGGCTAGCAAAACCAGAAAGCTTAAATTTTAAGGGGGTGTTTCCTGCCAGTTCTGGCGGCCGGTTTTAATTTGTTTAGCTAGAAGCATTTGTCAAAAAAACCGGTGCCGGTAGCACCAAAAACTGCGGGGAACTATGCAAAAAACGTATCTTCGCACGGAATTCTACCTTCAGTTGGTAATCTTCATGGGCATTTTGCTGATGCCTCAGCACTGGCAGACACAATATTTAGAACACAGTTTATGCTTCAGATTTCTCTGGGCTGCATGCTTGTGGATGTGGCAAAATTCTGCTTCATATTTATTTTGATGATCAGCAGCTTCTCAATCGGTCTTGCCCAACTTTATTGGTATTATGACCCATACACACCTGTATGCTTGGCACCGGAAAAATGCCGACAGGAGCCTAATGCTTTCTCCTCGTGAGCTTACTAGTTTATTTATCGCTTGTTCTTTCAGGCTATGCTTTTATTTTTCGCGACAAGCTACAAAATCTTTAGATTAGTAATATCATGGTTAGTATCATCAAAACCAACAATGTAAAGAGCGAGAAAAGAATGAAACTAGTTACATCTGCATAGGTCAGTTTAAACGCGCTCCTGCTCCTTGTTCAATCGCTCTCGCAAATACACGATCATCGTCGAGCTCTGCTGTGAATAATGGCTGTTTAGATAAGCACCTCGATCAACATATGCTTTAATTAAATTATGAAATGCTTAGTGAGCTAATCAAGAAATGCTGCACCAGAAGAAACTAATCTCAAAAGTGCTGCAAAGCCCAATCAAAGTGTAGCAGCTTCAACAATATTGTTAGAAAGTTATCTGCAAAGGTGTTTTGAAGCACCATTAAAGGCATACAAAATAGTGGCGACTGCAGCAGCAACAGCAACAGCAACAGCAGCAGCAGTAGCAGCAGCGGCAGCAGCAGCGGCAACAGAAGCAGCAGCAGCAGCAGCAGCAGCAGCAGTAGCAGTAGCAGTAGCACTAGCAGTAGCAGTAGTAGTAGCGGCATCAGCAGCAGCTATACTAATTTCGAGGTGGAGTGTGAAAATAAGTAATGGCATAACCAGAAGATAGAAACCATCGAAGATTATAAGAGTAACTGATGCGGACAGACAAAAGCGGGTTAGATGAGTTAGCTGGCGCAATGAGCAGTTAGATCAGATGAATTAAGGCCAACAAACATTTTAAATTGGTGGCGTCACTGAAGGAATGGGTGCTGATTGCAGGATAGCGAGTTCCTACCTCACACTGCTGTGGTCGCTTTTCTCGATTACCAAAATTGAAGATACGAATGTGATTGAGGATCACAGACTGACGCAGTTCGTGGGGAGTGCTATGTTTATCACCTATCATATGACGTCGATTATCGTGCTCCTGAATATGCTGATCGCTATGATGTCCCATTCATTCCAACGTGTCAATGTTCGTTTGCCACAATTCTTTTTTGGCTAGACATAAAATCAAATTAGCCGATAGCTAATTTTAAGTCTCCGCCTAGCCTAGTGAAAGTTGCACAACGTTGCTCTACCACCTTCCGACATATGTTGCGGTTTTGAACGATTGATAATCGAACTTTGCTAACATATCCTGGAAAAATATTACTCGCTTTGAAAAGATATTGTTTTTCTTGGACTTTCCGGACTATTTCCCGAAATTTACAACGGATTGGGAAGCCACCAAACTAGATGCCTCATGACACCGCACTCTTGGGGCATAACAGGATTCTTAATTTTTCACTAGATTTTTAGTAACGATCAAAAAGTATTTTTTAATTTAAAGCCCTTTAGTAACAATTTTTGCATCATTTACATAAAACTGGTTTTATCTAGCTTTTTTTTGACACAATTTTACGCTTTGCCCTAACCCTCTTAGTGCCAGTTTTTATGCGCTTTTGCATCTTTTTGTGAATACAGAAATGCATACTGTTGAAAGATTGCCGACTTGTGTGAGTGCCATTCAGCTTAAAATTAACGTTTACTTGTACTTCGTCCTACCTCAAATCAAAAAAGCAAAGCCTCAACATTTCGCTTTCAGTTTAAGGGCTGAAGCACTCAAGAAGGTAACTTCGAACGGTGACATGCCGACAATCAAGCATTGACAAAACTGTCAATAGCTCCCTCTTCTGAAAGTTGAGAAAAAGCAAGATGACTGCGAGTTGGACTCGCTGGCATATCACAGGTACTAACTCATCACCGAAGCGAGTCGTGTAGGGATTGGTCGTCTTACAGTAGAGGGATTATTCGTCCCACGGAGCACGACAACAGGGGATTATATTGCGCCGTGCCTGCAGACTCATGTACGGACGCTTAAAAGAATCATGTAAATTTTTTGACGAGAAAGCGACTTCGGACAAATGAGAAGTTGAAATTTCACATGGATGTTCTATGAATTTGCATGACTACAGATTTCACTTTCAACGACACATCAAAGTTGAGCGCAGCTACATGTAGGGTACGCGAAAGTGAATATTCAGTTCGAGACGCTGTTGGCAAAACGCCGATTTGTAAGCGAAGTTGATTAGAACTCTCTCACTTCTACACAATATTTGTTTTAGATATTTGGCTACGTCGGCGTAAGTTAGACTTTGGCTTATACCTGTAGCGCACGTTTGGAAGCGTCAAAGATCTCTGTAACGAAAACGACTTCCTCAACCAGCTAAGCTAGAAAGCTGAAACTTTACGAGACATTCTATGCCAACGCGCGACTTTAGCTTTAAGGCACGCGAAGTGTAGAGTGTGTGACGATCCGCGCGTGTGTGTCTACCGGGTATTTCAACTCGGCAGTCAAGCATTTTTCGACGCCGGAATTTTACCAGTGGGTTCCCTGACCAAATACCACCCCACTGCTACAGTGCCAACCTTCACGCACATTTGGCCCTCGCGTACGTGCGTGTGAAAGTTTTGGCGAGAAAATCGCTAACTCGAGAATAGGGAAGGCTGGTCGGCTGAAACTTTGAGGAGATGTTACCATCTCATGTACAACTAAAAACTTCAACTTGAGGCCCCAGGAGTGCGTGGTTCTCGTGTACAGCCTGGTGAAAACTTTTGGCGGGAAAATCGCTAACTCGGGAACCAGAAAAGCTAGAAAGCTGAAATTTTGAGGGGATGTTCCCTGACCAAGTACCACGTAGTTGTACAATTAACTTTCGGAAATTCGAGAATCAGTATGCCACAAATTCTAGCTGCTGGGTCTCCAAGCTATCTTACTATAGCACGAAATACTGTAAAAACGCATAATCGTACGGACCCGCCTGGTGCTTATCGCCAATGATTTTCTTTTATTTTGAGTAGCGTCAGAGAGCTGCTTAGTGCCAGAGTGTTTCTTACTTCGATACTCTGATCAAGTGCAAAGCATGGCAACGCTTAATTTGCATACGATGAACTGATTTTTTTTGACAAAAGCGATAAAAATGAAAGAGCTAGGATGCGGCTGATCTGGAATGGAAATTTCATCGGACGAAATTATGGATGGCTCACTTCGATGAGGGCTCTTCACTACCACCGCCGTTTAATATAATCATCACGCCGAAAGCTTTCTACTACTTCATCTGCTCGATATGCAACATCGCGAGGTGTATTCGTGGCAAGTATGTTAGGCGTGTGAAAAGCAGCACTCGTGCGACAATCAGGGTTTGTTGTGTGACTTTTGCAGCTTTATGTAAATGCAAAGCGCATATTGTGGAGATGTGTGTGAGTGTGTTCCGGTTCTTTTCATCCACATTTAACTTCACGAGGATGTGCCTAGTTCGTGTACCATTTAAGCAACTTAAAATCAACGTTTACGCACGCCCAGACCTCACTCACGGACTTTTAAGAAAATGTAGATTTTTTGACACGGAAACGATTTCAGCAATCAGCCAGGATAGAGAACTGAAAATTTATGCAGGCATTTCCTGCCCAAATGTGAACCAAAAGATTTCAAATTCATCTCACATGCCTATTTTACCATATGAACAGGTTAAAATTGAAATCCAGATGCTGCTGACAAAAATCCCAACTCGAAACTCAGACTGAATTCAGTGTCTCGTTTTCAGTACTAAACATGGGCATTTAGGTGTAGGGCTTTAGTGTCAGCCTATGTCGTGTGTTCGGGCGTGTTGAGAATATTTGTAAAAAGAAACGAACCAGCCGCGTTAGAGAGCTAAAACTTTATGAAGATATTCTATGCTTGTGTACAACCTAAATATTTCAGTTTCTAGTTTGGGGCACTGTTGGTAATCAGTTAACCGAGGGAGCAGGAAGCAGTATTTTTGTGAAGATGCTTGTTTTTGTAGGATGAGCTTCTACCTAGGTATAGGTCCATGTATACGAGCATCAAATATTCAAACTACAGCAACGCTTTCACATCTTATTAGTATAGGCAATCTTTTTGCAGGACGTAATCATGCAAAAACGCATAATCGGACTGGCGAACTTGGTCGTAACTATTTGAGTTACATATCATCAAAACTGAGTGTTCCTGTTGAAAGGGCTGATTTTATCATTCTGGAAATCACAACATAATACGCAAGCCGTGCAGTTGGCAACATTTTTTCCAGCTACTTTAACCAATTTCTTATTGCCTAGTGGTCAGCCTAAACCTTTTTTTTTTTTTTTGATTTCATCGTGTTAGCAAAAATTGGCGTGGCATCGGAGTATGGCAGGCAACTCATTTAGGAGATATAATATTCTTTGGTGCACGACACTTTTCGTAAAAAATCGAATAAATAGGACTTAAAAGCATTTCACCGGGATTATCGAGAATGACTGAACGTTTGGTGTGGAATTCAGCTGCTCCCATAAGCCGAGCCAGCTGTGTCCGTTCCTTCGCTTCTGTGCTGTGTGCCCCTTCACTTATCACCCACGGCTACTTGATTTATGTGCACCTTCTTTTCAGAGGCCACTTGAGCGGTCATTCGCTTTTGGTAGCCACCACTCACTAATGCGCAACGTCTGCCGGTTGTCGGCTAGAAATGCAAAACGTTCTGTCCATAGAATTTTACACTCTTGCGTGGTCGCAATGATATCCTTCACGTTGCTCATCTAACGAATAGTCTGATTGCTTACGTGATAAGTTGAACATGTTTCATTTCAATGGCTTTCTTCGTCAAGCCATGCTCGCTTTTCTGCTTTCATTGGTGACTGCTTTTCGCACACGTATGGCCCCCAAAAGAGTCATTTGCGAAAAAAATTGCCAAAAATTTTTTTTTTCAAAACTTTCTTAAAGTTCTGCCAGGATCAGTTGGTTTGCCTCCGTGGGCGAGTGACGTGTTTAAGCAGTACAGCTGTTAGCTTAATCTGCTTTGGATTACACACCTCCACCGATTTTTCCATTGGTTATCCTTGATGACTGGTAATACAGTGTTGATTGTATTAACAATAATGCTGTTGCAGAGGCCTGGGTACAGCAGGAAGCAGAAATACGCCGGAGATGACTTAAACAGTGAGCAGAGGCCACTTACCTACGCAGATATTATGAGACGGTGAGCTTTTGATGCACCTATGTTTACAGCCTACCGGTGCAGTAACTCCAGGGCTCGATTCCGCCACTGGGACAACCAAGCCCTCCACTATTCGTTCGCTGGCTTCTGTGGTAATTTGGTGTTAGCATTTATTAGGAAGGAAAACAGCCATCAGCTAGCTTATAAGCAACTCACGAAAGACGGAGCCATAGTTTTGCCAGGGAGTGGTTGCTGCTGGCATTTACTACCACTCGAGTTACTTCCCGAGGTCTTCCGCCTCTTACTGAGCTGTGAAGTTTTCGCCCATGTGTAATATCGCTTGATGTTGATCAAGAAAATTATAATGTGTCTTGCGCTTCTCCGCGACTTTTTGGTAAAAACAAGAGCACTGTTCAATAATAGGTCCACAACAATTCAAATAATTTCTCAAAATCGAAGCAAATCCTTATAAAAGTTATATGGAAACAAAGAAAGGAGGGCGGACAGAGGAATGAGGTTGGTGGCCGAAACAGGTGTGCGTGGGGAGGAAGAGGCAAGAGGAGTGGAGTAGCGAAAGGGGGAGGGAAGGGAGAGTAATCGTCATGCTATTAGATAGGAAAAAATTGAGTCTGAGAAAGACGGGCTTATATCGGAGGGAACCTAAATACAAACTGAAAACGCTACTACTCAGGGCTGAAAAGTAAAGTTTAAAATCGACGAGCATGTGTCAGCTGAACTTGAAAATCGGAGACGGCGCTACGTCATTCTATTAAACCGTCGATTCGAGTGACGCAAATTTAACCGCCATGGATCTTTTTTTCTAGGGACTGGAAAAAAA